CTGAGGCCTCAAATCAATTTCATGAGTTCCTCTGGGGTTACTAGGTTAAGAAAGGTTGAATTTGAAGGCGTGATGGGATCACAGCCCTGGGGCATGGAACAATGCGCGTTGAAAAACCCTTCTCTGCCTATTCGTGAAGGTAAATCTAAAGGACTGTGCCTAAATCCAGTTATAAACTAGATATAAACCACAACTGAATAACATTTAGTATCCTAAAACCTTGGTTCTCAACTGATGGGTCGTGACCCAAAAGTGGGTCGCCGCATGCCTTCCACTTTTCTAGGCGAGAGGCTCCTCCAGCCTCCCCCTAGCACAGCACTGTCCCTTCTCTCACCAAGCAGCCATTCAAAATATACTGCCAAGCGTCAGCTTGAGGTGGTATGGGGCTATGGCCGTGAGGGAGCTCCATCCATACATCCATACATGCATTGCTTAAATGTTTTGGAGTGTGTGGGAGAATGTGTCTGTGGTTGTGTGTGTCTGTCTGTCTGTCTGTCTGTCAGTGTTTTTGAGGGTCCATTTACACTAGTAGAGTGCATTAATCACATAGTACCGTGCGATTAACAGGGCACAATCGCATCTACCATGCATTGCTATTCATTTGAATGGTACCCCAAACGCACTTCCCACCCACAGTTTGTACGCCTGCACTAGAACGCGTGGTACCCTAATGCTGTGCGTTCCAGTGCAGTGCGACTTAAAGACAAATATGGGTCCTGACGTTACACAGGTTGAGAACCACTTTCCTAAAACATTGTGTGTAATAAACAATGACCTTTTCCCATCCTTTTTGTTACATTTCATTGCTGCTGCTTAGGCATGCGCCAATACCGGTCTTTCAGTATCGAGTACCGATCTTTCTATTTCGGTACTCGCCAATAACGGTACTTCCGCTAGCAAGGAGCCGGCTTCCCGGGCAATCAGGAAGTAATGACACGCCGCCCGGCTTCTTGATTGCCCGGCAAGCCGGCTCCGTGCTGTTTTGTCGGCTCAATGCTGATTGGCCGGGAAGCTGGCATCCCAGCCAATCCGCATGGACCCGGCTGTTTGGGCTGCTCGATGCCGATTGCCCGGGAAAAGCCGGCCCCATGCTTTTTGGCTGCCTCAATGCTGATCTTGCTAGTCTGTCCTGCTGCCTCTCAAAACACCTGAACAATGCCTGCATCCGATTGGATTGTTCTGGTATTTTGAGAGCCAGCGGGACCAACTGGCAAGATACTGAAGCTTGGACCAGCGGGAGATTGCTCCATCCACACAGGTAAAGGGGTTCTAAACCCTCCCGTTTTTTTGCCTATATCTACGGCTATCAAGCGGTAGATATAGGCCAACAGCCCGCTAAAACAGCGGTTTAAACTTACCTCGTTATCGCTGCGCGCTCCCGCCCGAGAAAACTAAACTGTTCGGGCGGCCGCAAAGCATCTTGGGGCGGGCGCATGCGCAGTTCGGATTCTCGGCCGGGACGCGAGGAGAGACGCAAGGTAAGTGCGTATGGACGCGTGCACCCGCATGCAGACACCGCTGGATCGGAGAGCTGTCGCAGGAACAGATGAAAACATCAGGAAAGAAGATCGGAATAAGAGACATCATTTAAGGAAAGTGCTGACATTAACATGAGGGGGAGGGGAACATTTTTTTAACTTTAATGTCACTTTAAAGGAGAACTATGGGGTCAGGGCTTTTCCCCATAGTTCTCCTTAGGTTAACGGGAGGACACAAACTAGCGTCCTCCCATCACCCTAAGCTCAGTATATAGGGAGCTGCTGCTCGCAGTATACTGAGGTGCCGCAGCTGAATCGGATCCCGACAATTGTGCCGGGATCCGCCCAGCTGCGTGACTGACAGCTGGCTCTGCCTATCTAGAGGCAGAGCCAGCTGTACTCCGCCCGTTCCGCCAGTCAGCGCTGGCGAATCGGAGGAGGGAGGGGGGAATCCAGCCCCTCCCCTGTCACGGCAGAGAGCCGTGACGGGATCGAGAAGTGAGCGAACGCCGGTATGTGTTCGCTCACCTCCCGATCTACTGAGCCGACCTGTGACAGTCTCATTGTCACAGGCCGGCTAGAACTATGAGGAGGAGTGAAAAGCACCCCCCTCATAGTTCTCCTTTAAGTGTAGATGGAGGAATCTGTTGCACTTTTCCCATCCGCCCATCGAAAGTCTGCAGATAATCTCTAGGTGTATGGCCAGCTTTAGCTGTAAAGTGAGACATGACGAGGCAGCAGAATCTTACCTGTTTTGCCGGCATGGTGGCATTCTCAGGCTGGTTCCCAGGTGCTCTGTTTCTAGGTCATGTGACCCAGCACACTTCTGCCACAGCTACAGGTTAGGAGATTCAGAAGCGGAGCGCTGCAGGATCTGCTTTTTACAGCCTATTGTTAAATTAGATGTAAACCCAACTGGATGAGATTTAGTTTGCTCGTGCACGGCGCCATACACGATTTCCTTTGGAAGATACTATTTGCAAATTTTTTTTTTTTTCTTTGCTACATCCTGATGGTGACAGAACATGCCGGAGCAATGACATCAGAAGGGGGGCACGTGACAACCCAGGAGAGCAAATGGGAGAAAAAGCGTCGCCCTATAACAGGAAGTCTCTCAACGAGGACCTATGTTATAGAGCCTTGGTTCTCAACTGCTGGGTTGTGACCCAAAAGTGGGTTGCGACCCCGTGTTCAGTGGGTTGCTGTGTGCCTTCCACTTTTCTAGGTGAGAGTCTCTTAGCCTCTTCCGAGCGCAGCAATGTCAGCTCTCACGCAGAGCAGCCATTCAATATATGCTGCCTGGCATAGAGTGTCAGCTTGAGGTGAGGTGAGGTGGGCTGGGGCTATGGCTACAAGGGAGCTCCATCCATACGAGCATTGCTTATAGCTCCCTTGCATGTCCTGTAGGGTGCCTGGACCGGAGTGACGACACATTCTGGCTCCGACACCTCCTATAAGGCGCGCAAGGGAGCTGTACAAGCAATGCACATATTGATGGAGCTCTGTCACAGCACAGCAGCCGACACTGGACCCCAGGCTAAGGATTCACTCCAGTTCTCATAATGACACCCCATACACACCTCCCACCCACAGTGTGATTGCCTACAGCGGAACGCACGGTACTGCAATGCTGTGCGTTCTGTTGCAGTGTGACTTGGGCCACCACTTAATGACCAAGGTAAATGTGGGACCTTGGGTTACACAGGTTGAGAACCACTGTTATAGAGAACAGGGGGAGGTGTTCTGTAGTGCCGGAACATGACAGGATTACCGGGGATTCTTTCGGGAAAAACTGCAGATTTAAAAAATATTGAAATCTACTTTTAAAGTGACATTAAACCCTCAGATTGTTTAACATAAAACAATACTGTAATGTGCGCCTTACTGTAATCCATGTTTTTTTCCCTTCTCTTTGCTGCTCTTCCTTTTCCATCTGTTTCTGTTCTCATGCTGGGGGAGAACTTCTGTTTTGCAGCAGACTGCCTTGTCTCTGGAATGGATACATGGTGTCTGTGTGTAGGTTCACAACCTGAGCCAGCACTACAGGAAGAGCCACTCAGCTGCAAAGGGAAGTTCTCCCCCAGCATGAGAAGACATGAGGATTTAAAAGGAAGAGCAGCCCGAGAATAACAACAGGCTTCAAGGCGAATTAACCCTTAGCAGTGATCTGTTTATTTTAATATGTTACAGATTATATGAGATTCTAGTGATTGGGTTTACATCTCGGCTGACTTTACTGCCCTTCTCCTGCATAGAGATATCGATGTGTAACATAAAAGATGGAATACAAAGTATACAAACAATGGGAGCGTAATAACAATAAGCCTCATTGTGACAGAGGTGCAGACGAAGCATTGGATACGAGTGTTTGTTAAA